AGCTCTGCATCTTTATGCAATCCCATTTGTCCAACCTTTCTTTGATTTGTTGTGTTTCTGGGTCTCCATTAAGAAAATTTCTGCCTGTTCCAAGGAGACCTAGGGTTTCTCCTATTCCATCCTGTAATGTTTTCAAAGTGTCTGCTTTGACTCCAAGGTCTTTTATCCATTTGGAGTTGATTCTGGTGCAGGGTGATATATAAAGATCTAGCTTTAGTTTTCTACAAGTGATTAACCAATTTTGCCAGCACCATTAATTGAAGAGGCTGCCTTTCTTCCATTCTATTTTTTTAAGCTCCCTTATTGAAGATTAGGTGGCTATAAGTCTGTGGGCTCATTTTTGGGTTTTCAATTCTATTCCCTTGATCCTGAGGTCTCTTCTTGTGCCAGTACCAAGCTGTTTTTATTACTGTGGCTTTGTAGTAGAGTTTGAAATTTGGAATTGATATTCCTCCAACACTGTTCTGTTAAGGATAATTTTTCCTATTCAGGGTCTTTTATTGTTCCATATGAATTTTTGAATTGAATAAGCTCTATTTTTTAAATGTAAGGGCTGGTCAAGAACACAACTCACTGAGATGGCATAAAATAATTACACATTACCTTGCTCAGAAAATTACAGTATTGGAAACACTTTGAATCATCAGTGTTTACCACACTATTAAAACAGTAATTCTCCTGAGGTTCAGCAATATGACTTCTACTAGGATCCTGAGCTATGAGAAGCAGCAGGTAGTGAGTGAGTTTAAAATCTAGACTCTCTTAGGACTAGGAAGGTGCTCAGTGGTAGAGTGCTTGCCTTGTATGCATGAGGCCCTGGGTTCGATTCCTCAGCACCACATAAGCAGAAAAAGCAGGAAATAGCTCTGTGGTTCAAGTGGTAGAGCGCTAGCTTTAAGCTGAAGAGCTGAGGGACAGTGCCCAGGCCCACAGTTCAGGCCCCACGACTGACAACAGCAGCAACAACAAAAAGAATTAAATCTAGACTCTCCATGTATAGGAATCTCAAGAAACAACAGAGTAATTAAAAGATAGACAAACAGATAGATAACCATGTATACCTACATATAATTCAATAAGGTCAGTAATCTATTAAACAAGTAAAATTCCAGTTATATAAGTTCATTGTTGGTTCAATATGAGTCAGACACAAAGAAGTTATTAACTACAGTATCATAATTACCAATAGTTCTCAAATAGAATAGCTAGACAAGCTGAGGTACTCCTTTATATATCATAAAACATATTGTAATTTCTCCTAAATCCTGAATATGCTAATTTTTCTTATAAAGAGAAAATGATTTATAAGGTATGGCCTGGCATGAAGCGGAATACTAATAAGAAGGAAACTTGTATCCAATCTATGTTAAAGAAGTCATTATATAAAAGCACTGAACAGGGACAATGAGGAGTTGTGATAGATTTTAAGCAATAAAGAAATATAAAGATGATTTGTATTACTGGCAGTGTAGAGGATGGAACAGAGAGAGGTTGAGCCAAATCTAAGAGGCTAGTTAGAAAGCTGCTACTTGCACAAGAGTATGTATTTGCAGGACCTGGTCTAAGAAAGAAGTCATAGAAAATGTTAGCCAGGTGTTGGTGGCTCACACCTATAGTCCTAACTACACAAGAGGCTGAAATCTTAGAGTCATGGTTTAAAGGCAGGCTGGCAGTAAAGTCTGTGAGACTCTTATCTCCAATTAATCACAGAAAAATCCAGAAGTGGTGCTTTGGTAAAGTGACAGAATGTTAGTCGTGAGCAAAAGAAGCTTAGGGACAGTGCCCAGGACCAGAATTCATGCCCCAGGACCAGTTAAGAAAAAAGAAAATGTTAAATATTATAATCATCTATTTAACTACAAGTAGAGAAAACCAAAAAAATCATTGCCTAATATTTTCTCCTGTTATTGTACTGGGAAAGAAAGGCAGAAATTCCATTAAGAACAACTTAGTTATCTGAGTGAGTATCAACACTCTGAATTAGCAAAACAGTACAATGATGCATATGGATCAGGGAACTCCACAGGAGATCGGGGATACACAGCAAGGTTGTGGAGAAGAAGAGACCAACTAGCAGGGAGACACATAAAAAACAAGTTCTAAATGAAGACTATGATAACTGATTAAAAAGGTAAAATACATTAATTCTTTGAGAAAAAAGACAATGATGAATGATTGCAGATAGTGCTGATGAATTCTGAAGTAAAGAAAGTTCATTTACTCAACAGTTTTAGAGAATTCTTAGTAAAGGGGAATACTCTCCATTTCCGACAGCAAATTGAAACTTTTCATTGCCTGGGAGGGCAACTCCATCTCCAGCATTTGTGCCCTGTATGATAGTAGGAGAATCACAGTTGTCATTCTGACATGTTCTATTTTAACTAGAAAATTCTTATCATTCCTTCAAGACTTAACTGATCAAAGTATGCTATAAGAAGAATTGTCTGTGGCTAAGTGTGGTAGCACAAACCTATATCCCCACTTTCTCAGGAAGATCATAGTTTGAGGCTAGTACTGGAGAAAAAAGTTAGCAAGACTCCATATAAACCAACAATCTTAGTGTGCTGTTACATGCCTATAATCCCAGTTATTCAGGAGGAGAAGGTTTGTGGTCTAGTCCTCTAGGAGATCCTATATAAAAAGTAATTTGCATTCAACTTCCTGAATAAGGCAAGCTTTTGCTATCATTTTTATTACCCTGTATTTACCTCTATTAAAATTAGTAGAACTATACATTGTGGTTACTCCAAACTAACCTAGACATAACTAACATAACTCTAATTGTAAATTAGAGTTTGCTTTAATCACAGCATTCATCAGGTTTCCCATTAATCTCCCTTAAGCCATGTACTATATTTTTCCCACAGGGTAGACACCTAAAACAAAGCTGCTAGCTGGTAGACTGATAGAAATGTAAAAATCAAGCAAGATTTTATCTTATCCATTAAAGTAATCCAAATCAAATCATTATATATAGTTTTAAAGCTCTAAAACTTCTTCCTTAAACAAGACACACCAACTCATTTCTGTGAGAATAAGGAATATGCTCCAGCAAAAAGACTGAATGTTTTGTTGTTCCTTAGAGACTGTAAATCAAGAATTCACTATTTCAAATATTTATCGGTATCTCTCAAAAACATTATAACTTTCTGTGAAATAATTTTTCTAACTTTAAAGGTTAATATTAATAATGTTCTTGGTCTGAAGTGAGCCTAATTTATTTTCTTCTATAATCACTTATTTGCTACTTAACTTATGGAATTCAGTATCACATTTTAAACTAAAAGTTACAATTGAACTATGCTCGGTGCATGCCTCCAAGATTAGTGCTATTATAACTCTCACGTAGTAAACTGGTTATAAGAACATGCTATCTTGTCAGATTGACTGAGTTCTATTAAGTAGCAAGTATATTCTCAAAAAGGAACTATTGCACGATTCAAATAGGGAGAAAATGTTGTTCCTGTATGGACATTATTCAGGTCTGACTTGAAAACAACACTATAACACTGAGTTATGGGATAAGTCTGTTCTCTCAAAATTTATGTTTGGAAATCTTATCTCCCTCTTAGAAGATGACTTTACTGGGAGTTAAAGTCTTGATTACTTCTAGAGATAACCATGTTCAAAATGAGATAATTAGAGTAAATCATAATCTAATTTAACTAGTACTTATAAGAGAAAGGTGAGACAGACACCAACACAGGGAATACTGCAGTGTTAAGATGAAAGATTAGAGTGTAGCTTCTCCTACAAAAAGAAATGCCAAAGAAGGCACCAGCTGCTAGAGGACAAAAACTAAACAGAGTTCAGTTAGAAGGAGGTAGGCTTGTTAACACCATGACATCAGGCTTCCAGAAGGGTGAGAAGATGTATGTCTAGTGTTTAATCAGTTTAATATGTGGTACTCTTGTTATGTTGACCATACCAAATTAAAACAACGTGAACTAAGCAAAGGGGAAAATACTGCATAAGTTACCAGAACTAGGTACCAGTGGCTCACACTTATAATCATCGCTATTCAGAAGATTAAGATCTGAAGATCTCTATTTGAACAAGGCAGGGCAGGAAAGTCAGTGAGACCTATCTCCAATTAATTACAAAAGAGCCTAAAGTGGAACTGTGTCTCCAGTGGTAAAGCACTAGCCTCAAGCAAAGAAAAAGAAAGAAAAATTTTAAAAAAGCTCAGGGACAGTGCCCTGAGTTTAAGCCCCAAGACTGACATATAAAAATATAAATATAAAACATAAATAAAAAAGCTAAGGGAGAGTGCCCTATGTTTATCTCTCTCTCTTGATCTCTCTGTCTCTCTCTCTCTCTCTCACACACACACACACACACACACACACACATACACACACACCAAATTTCTAATTGATAAGTAGAACCAATGTTCTTAGGTTTCAAAGAATAGTTATATAAACTGACACTGACATTCTCTCTCTTTCTCTGTCTCTCACACATTATTCTTAACTATAGAATATGAACAATTATTTGTAAAATAAGATTATGCATACATTTCTTGTTATTATTTTCAACATAATTCAACCATCTGTTATCAAGAATATAAGGAACAACAAGAATGTAAGATATAACAAGAGCCAAACCCTACTAGATGGGAATATACAAACAAGTCCCAATTGCCCCTTTTAGAATATTCACAGAATCTGTTAAGATGCATTATTACTTTTGATTTGTTTATATTGGATTGTTCTGTAATCTCTTTTAAAAAGGAAAGCTTTTTTACCAAAGATGTTCTGTGAACATGTCATATACATCTAGATACATAGGAGAAAATTATGAAATAATCATTTGTAATAGTCAAATCATGCTATTTGTTCTAAAAGAAATGATATCACCTTTATATTGCTAGAAATGAAAATACATTATGTCCAAATTTGTATCTTAATTATTTACTTTTCCCCATTATGGTAAACTATTAAGTGAGAAGAATAACATTGAATGATCATAACAAACTCAAAGGTCTTTAACATACTTACCACTTTCAAAGCATGCATCAAAGACAAGATGACCTTTCTTGGCTTGTCCACAGTAACCATTTGGAAGTACCATATATTTGTTTACATTTCCTCCAATGGAATCATCATTTCCCATATCATTGCCTATATTTAAAAAAATGAGACTCACATTAAACAGAAATCTAAGTGAACTGAGCATTAGAAATCCAATAAGGTTTTGAACATCAATTTATCTTCATTCATACTCATTGACTAGGCAAAAATATGCAGACAGAAATTAATTAACTATACATTGTAGTACAATAGGAAGACAATACATTTTGAAATCCAAAAATATAGGCTAAGATCTCATTTCTACTATATAATAAGTCTCTATGATCTAAATTAATCAACTTAATAGCCTTAAACCTCAGTTCCTCTACTTCATTATAAAACACCCTATCTTCTTAAGCTACATTATGAGAATTATATTTAAAAGTATCTACTCTCATTATTGAAATCCAAAATATGTTCATTAAATTACATCACCTAGTTAATAATTGGTAATGTATTTAATGTGTCACAATATATATTAAGTTGTTTTTGTTAAGGTTTAATAGATGGTATTAAGACATCTAAATGTTCTATCACCAGAAACAATTTGAAAAATACTAAATTAAGATAAGAATTAAGTACTAAATTATAGTAAGGGTGTTAACAAAAATGTTATCCAAACTTTCAGCCCTTAACTATTTCAGCAGAGGTTTTCATACTTTCACAACCCAGAGTGCATGAAGTAAGTGTATAAGAGCAGTTGTATACAACAGTGCTATGAAAGCTATTTGACACTATAATCATGGTCCAAACAGAGAGTAAAAGATGAGGCAGTTGCAAAGATACTTTCAACTAAAAAAAAAAAAACTTGGTTCATACTTCTTCCAGAAACTATCACTAAGTGGAAAATTATATAAGAAACAGGTCCTTTCAGAATTCAATGACAAGCAATGATGTCCAAGAAAAATGAAGTGAGGCTGACAATAGCCTCAGCTTTTAGACAACTGACAAATTTTTGGAACCTGGTGCAGCAAAAAAGAACATGGTGGTTTCTTGAGTTGGGAAGACAGAAAAATGAATTTGAAGAAATTGGGAGCCAATTGAAGAAATTGGGTGTCAAACCACAAAAAAAAAGTACTAAGAAACTGCTTGAGTCTTTAATTGAATAGTAAGCCATATAGAATAAATCCACAAGGCGAGGCATGAATGACCTGAAAATTGTAGAAGATAATCGCTAAAACACAGTGCTTCAAACATTTGAGTTTCAACTACCCAAAGTGGAGAACTCATATTTAAAACCCAAAGGTGCATATAAGACCCATACACAGAAAACTAAAAGTAAACTAATAATAGACATTGAGAAAGATGTAATGAAATAATAAGGTATACCATGCTCATGGACTGCAAAATTCACTACTGTTAAAATTAACAATTTTCTAAAAACTGATCTAAGAAAAAAATGTAATCTCAATCAAAATTGTAACAGGCTTTTGGAAGAAAGTAACTAATTGAATCTAAAATGTATATGGAAATCTGGGAACTTAAAATATACAAAGTCAGGCCCTGGTGCTCATGCCTATAATCCAGGGTACTCAGGAGGCTGAGATCTGAGGATTGTTGTTCAAAACTAGTGTGGGAAGAAAAGTTCATAAGATTCTTTTTTGTTTTGGTTGTTGTTGTTGTTGTTGTTGTTTGTGGTCATCGAGCTTGAACTCTGGGCCTGAGCTCTGTCCCTGAGCTCTTCAGCTCAAGGCTAGTGCTCTACCTCTTGAGCTACAATGATGCCAGTTTTCTGGTGGTTTATTGGAGATAAGAGTTTTACGGCCTTTCCTGCCCAGATTGGCTTTGAACCGCGATCCTCAGATCTCAGCCTTCTGAATAGCTAGGATTTATAGGTGTGAACCACCAGAGCCTGGCTCGTGAGATTTTTATCTTCAATTAACTACCATAAAGCCAGAAATGGCATTGTGTCCTATGGTATAGTACAAAAGTTTAGGAACACTGCCCAAGCCTTGAGTTTAAGCCCCAGGACAAGCACAAATTATATATACACAAACAATTATGTAAAATATTAAACATCCGGAAACAAATTGTATGATATAAAGACTGATTTTAAAGCTCCAGCAATCAATACAAGTATAATACAGGCAAATCAGTGGATCAAAATGAAGACTAAAAAATTACATCTAAATGCAGTTTCAATAAATGTGTAAAAAAATTCAATTCTGTAGCCACCAAAGAACTGCTAATCAAAACATTTATTTTTTCATCATCTTTAAAAAGTTGTACGAAAGGATTTTAATTTGATATGTTAGATTTTGAGTACAATGCATCTTCATTAATACCTCTTTCATCTTTCTACCTCATCTTTCCCAACCCAACACATACCAATTTGCCTTCCATTTTCACATATGTACACTGAATGTTCTGACTACATTTACCCAACCTTCCTCTATTAGTCTTCCACCTCCCCTTGACCTCATATGCCATCCTGCCACACAACAATACGTATTCCAGCTTCGTGGTATTCATTTTGTTAAAATGTAAATAAGCTATTCAAAGGAGCCACTGAAATCCTCTCTTGCACATACTCTAGTTAATGTTTGTGTGTATATGCATATAACATATATATTCATAACTTACACCTAACTTCTACATATGAGAGAAAATATGCATCCTTTGTCTCTCTGAGCCTGACTTGATTTGCTTACGATAATATTTTCCAGGTTCATCCAGTTCCCTGAAAGCGACATAACATCATTCTGAATTCTGATGTATAAGTAAAATTCTATTTATTCAACTGCTTGTTTGTATCCTCCTTAAGGTTATTGAAAAGTTTTTAAATAAAGTTTTTACATTCTTTGTCCAGCATTTGATCTACTTCAATATCTTTGGACTCAATTACTGAAGAGCTACAAATATTTAGAGGAAATCATATTGTTCTTTTTCATATTTCATATGTTTCTATGTTACAATTTGTGCATCTGTTGGATAACTTTTTCACTTGTGATGTGAAAGTCTTCTAAGCCTTTTTTTGAGTGCTGCTCAGAGGAAAAAAGTAAACAAGAGTAACAATACCAACATAAAAAAACAAACTATATGGCTGGGCACCAGTGGCTCAACATCTGTAATACCAGCTACTCAGGAGGCTGAGATCTGAGGATCTTGGATACTAAGCAGGAAATTCTGTGAAGCATTTATTTCTTTAATCTCCAGTCAATACCAAAAAGTCAGAATTGGCTAATCTTGAACACAAATGCTCAGGGACAGTGTTCAGGCCTAGAGTTAAAACCCCAGGACCAGTACACACACACATTATGTAGAAAGAGTACATCAAATAAAATTAATAATTATACGATCAAAATAGCAACAAAAAAATAATATACAATAAAGTTTAAAGTTAACAATTAATAAAGTAATAATAAAATGAATTTAGAGTACAGAATAGAAGAAGGGATAAGAGAAAGGGATAAGAGAAAGCATGACCCAAGCAAGGCTTGATAAGCAAACCAAAGGCCCAGAGTTCATTATTACCCCTCCTCAAAAAAAAATAGTTGAAGAAAAAAAGAAGAAAATCTAATTAAAGAGTAAAAAATAATAAAATTAAATAAGAGATACAAAAATGAAAAGAAACAGGAATCAAAAGATTCCTCCTAGGTATTTGGATTGGAGATAACTTTTTGACCCTCTAATACTAGACTAAATTATGCAGGGAGGAGGGGAAGGATAATGGGTCATCACTGATACATCTTTTGTAATTCCTCTCTTCTACCAAATGAGTTAGTACTGTATATAGGCTAAGCTTTGCCTTACATTCCCCACTAGATCAAACAAGTTGTGTATTGTCCCTAGCAAGGCTACAGTCTCTCTTAACTTGTGAGCCTGGAGGCACTACTGGCACAGATGAGCTCTGGTAATATGTGAGCTGTGCAGGTGCTCATTTAATTCACAATCCCCAGGCTAGGAATCTAGGACCATGGCATCTACCCACCATCAGCCACTTTCCTGAATTTCCTGCAGACTGAGGGAAGTAAACAGACCACTGAGTTCTATGCTGGAGGGCAAGTCCCAAGAATAAGAAAATGATCCATCAGTCTTGGCATAATCAGACCCAAACCTAGTAGTAAACTTGTGACAGCTTTCACCATAGAGCCTGGGGCCACCAACCATTGTGCCCTCTACACTGTGAACTTTCCACTGCTTAGTCTTTCTCAGAAGGTCTGTGACAGACCCTTACCCTCTCCTCAACTGTGTTTCCAGGTCATTTCCCCCATTCACTTAAGCAAGTGTCCCTAAGGACCTTCAAATATGATCGTTCTTTATTTTTTGATACTTATAATAATACTTCAATCCCAAACACTAAGCCATATCTTAATATGATGACTGAGTATAGCTCTAAAAGATATATTCAATGATGCAATGAAGTTTATTTCCTCCAAAGCTAGTCTGTATAGAATGATTCCCTTTTAGAACAAATCTTAGTACTAGATTTCAAGCTTATAATAATCCTGGGTTTCTCCTGAGGCTAGAAATTGCCAGCCTTTTTTTAATTGTGAAAATACCATACAGAGGGGTTACAATTACATGGGCAAGGTAATGAGTACATTTCTTATCAAGCATTGTTGCCTCCTCCTT